GAACAATGCAAGGGCATTCATATCATAGAAACTGTTTTTGTTTGAACTACAACCTTAAACTTGTTTAAGTCAAATGTGACGTATAATTATTCATTTGATTTTTATACTTTATATGTGAATCTAATAAAATGTAAATGTAGTAGGTAAATGCAAGATATAGATAGAAAGCATGATTTAGAACTGTAAGAAGGCAGGTGTAGATGATCAGGTTTGTGCTTATGGACCAGGTCTTAATCCAAGCTGAACAAGGGCAACAAAACATCCACAGGTGTAGAAGATTTCTCTCAAAACTGGGGTGGGGGTGGGGGTGAGGTTTAAGCCTCACCTCTGTTGGCCCCCTTTTTCTCACCTGATGGCCTCCCTGCGACTGTGCCTGTCTTAGGTTGTTCCTCCCTTGAGGAATCTTACCCGTCTCTGGCTAACCAGCCATCTTATGGGGCCATACAAGGAGATGTAAAACTGGTAAATGAGAGAAAAGTAATATTCTTTGAAAAGGTTAGTTTTTCACTTCTTTGCAGATTTATGCTCCATGGCTTCTATGCCCAGCACTTGTTGTGAGGTATCTTTACTTCCTGGAAAATTATGGTACTTGGTAATTTCACGTATGAGGCACAAATTCTAGTAAAGGGCTGTGATTAGGAAAGAAGAAAAACAAACTATAGAAGTAGTTGAGGGAAGAAAACATGAAATGATTCAGTCAACAGAGTTATTCTATTCAATATTTTCTCATGACTCTATTTCTATAAAACTTTCCATCACTAGTTTCACTAGCATTGTAAACAAGGGGGGCATTCTCAGTGGAAATGGGGTGGTCAATGTTTGACTAACTAACAGCAGGTTTCGGTACTTTTATGCTAAGATCGCCATTTGGCCCCTGCGTGTTCTATTCTTCAGGAACACTGTCCTGAAAAGCTTTTGGGAAGTTTATGTTCTCATCCTTTCCACACTGCTCAGCAAAGGTTAGTTAACCCTTGGCAACAATGCAAGCAAAAACAAAGCCAATAGTATAATGGAAAATAACAAAATCAAGGGGGGTAATAGAGGGAGCCAGCTGCGAAGGCCCCTGATTTGTGGGGTCTTCCTCCAGCCTGAGCTTTGCTACACAGCTTGAGTAGCATGGCTCCCAGCAGTTTTCTGTTACTATGATGTCTTATCTGGTTTTGGTATTGGGATAATGCAAGCCTCATACAGTGGTGTCCCACAGGTCTCTGCGGCTCTAGTTTCTTTGGTTATTTTTAATTTTGTTCTTTTTATAGATGACTCTCAACCAACCTGTCTTCAGATTTACTACTTCTTCCTTCTGTCTAATCAAATCTTCAGGCACATTTTTAATTTCAGTTATTGTACTTTTCAACCTCAGAATTTTTATTGTTTTTTAAAAATAATTTTTGTCATTTGATTGATGGTTTGTATTTGGTGACACATTTTTCTTACCTTCCTTTAATTCTTAGACCTGGTTTCCTTTTGGAATATATTTATAATACCTATTTTAAGCCTTTGCGAGGTAAATCCAAAGTCTGGCCTTTCTTAGTTTTGTAAACTACTTTTTCCCTTTGTATGGGTCATACTTTCCTACTTCTTCACATGTCTTGTTTTTTTTCTGCAATTGTTATTGAAAACTAGACATTTTAAATGATACACTGTCAACTCTGGAAATCAGAGTCTCTCTCTTCTCCAGGCTTTTTTGTTGTTGCTGTTTGTTTGGAGACTTTCTTGGACTAATTCTTTGAAATCTGTATTCTTTGATATGTGTGGTCACTGTAGTCTATTCAGTTAGTTAGGTTGATGGTTAGCTAATGACTGGACAAAGATTTCCTTAGCATTCCTCAAAATAATAACCTTTCAGGCTTTTTTAAGGACTGTGTGTGTGTGCATGTGTGTGTATGTAGTTATGTTTTCAATGCTCTGGCAGGCACTTTACAACTCCATCTTATCCTTAACTTCCTGCTTATACAGGGACACAAGATAACCAGACCCAAAAGAAGAGAATGTTTTCAGGGCTCTCCTGGGCATATACCCAGTCCTAAAATGCACATAGGCTTCTAGATTCCCACAAATGTGTTGGAGCTTTTCAGAGAAACCTATGAACATCTCATTATCCAGTTTTTCTTTTTAAGATATTTCATTAGCTGCTTGTTAGCTCCAACTGTTAACACATCTTCAGGCAGCTGTGACATTAAACAATTGCCACTGATTGTATTTGTCAAATCTCTGTGGGTAGGGCTCTGATTAGGTCAAATAAAGAAATTCCTTGAAAGTGGAGCTTTTTAGTGAACTGCCAGTCAGGTCAAATGGTGACAATTTTCTGGGAATGGGACTTCTGAGGTATTCCAAACTCATCTGCTTCCTTTGGAAGCTGCTAAGCTGCTGCTTTTCACAGATACTGTGAAGGCTGTAGGCTTTCAGGGCTCCTGGAGAGCTGGGGTACGGGTGATGGGCATAAGTCAAATTAAAATGCCACAAGATTCACTGTGCTTATTGAGATTCAGCCATTTTCCTTAAATAAATGCTGCTTGGATTGTTGCAAGCCTCTGGTGATTTTTTGGAGTTCTGTAAAAGTTAATTTTGACAGTTTTCCCTAGTGCTCTTATTGCTTTTATGGAGATGGGTTTTAGAGAACTTCAATCAACCATTTCAGAATAGCCAATTGTATATTCATTTTCTATAGCTGTGTAACAAATTATAGTAAGCTTAGTGGCTAAAACAATACCCATTTATAGTTTTTGTTGGTCAGGTCCTGCACAGAGTAACTGGGTTTTCTGCTCAGGGTCTTACAAGGCTGAAATCAGCATGTTGGTTGTACTGAGTTCTCTTTTGAAGCCCAGGATCTTCTTTCACATTTGTTGACGTTGTTAGCAGAATTTACGTTGTAGTTGTAGGACCAAGGTCCCTATTTTTTTTGCTGGCTGATGGCTGGCAGTCCATCTCAGCTGCACTTGGGTTCTAACCATTACAGGGAAGATCACTGCTTCAAAGCCAGCAGGAAAAATCTCTCTCCAGATTGTGAAGGTGGAGGCTTATGTTACATCACCTAATCATGGGAGTAACTATCCTATCTGCAGGACCTGCTCACCCTCAAGGAGTGAGGATTATATACAGTATATATATTTATAAGGGGTTGGGTTCTTGGGGCTGTCTTAGAATTCTTCCTACCATGAGTTTAATGGTGTGTTTTCAAGCACTTGGCTGCAAGAGACATTTCCAGCTGTATTCAATTTGTGTACTGTTTTATATAGCACTTTCATATAAATTAACCTAATGGAATCTTCACAACAGCTGTCGGAGATAGGCAGGGCAGGTGTCTCTAAACCCATTTTAGAGATGTGAACCAAAAGGCTCAGAAGATTATATGACTTGCTCATGAGTACACAGCAAATGAATTTCTCTAAGTATTATATGTGTCTTCTGCCCTACCACACACCTGCCTGCCATGTTAAAGGTCAGTCATTTCTGAGTTTTGCATTTGACATAGCATTGAGGATATTACTACTAGAGTTCTCTTTAAGAAATTTTATCTCTGGAACAGTCTTCCGTGGGCATCCTACATCTCTTGTGTGTGTACTTGGGGGGAATACCTGACCATGGAAAATAGTATTAACCAGGAGTTTTGATAAAATGGAGTTTTCAGAGGTGAATTGCAGTTTAAATAGATGAAAAATGCCATTTACTTCCAGCAGTGTATTCTCAGTGTTCCCTCTGGCCCAACTTGAAGGGAGCAGACAGTCATCTCCCACAGAAAGTAAATGGAATTTTTATTTTTGTCTTCGAAGTGCCTTGCAATTAGCAGTCTCAGGGCTGGCGAGGGGCCCTTGGTGAAGATATCATCAGAAAGAACAGCAGAAGTTTCTGAAGGTAGTCCGACATCAACCAAACCCACTCTCACTTTCACTTGATAGTTTTGCAAGTGCTGAAGGAATTAACCATTTAAGACCAGCCTTCTTACCTCCTTATACTTAATCTCCTGGTTCAATGTGTCTGACCCTCCAGAAGGTGGTGGGTTTTCTTTAGTCCCATTTTAAGCCTTTTAATTATTCTCTGTCTTAGTATGGTAGTGTGAATGGCTACTTGTGGTCCTCATCAATCAATCCTTCAGTGTCTGAGCTGGGGTACTGGCATCCCCTCCCAGATCCTCTTCACTTGGCCCCATACGGACTTCCCAACTGCTGTGAGAAGGTGATTCTCACCTTCTGCAAAGGCCACCTCCCTTGCCTCACAGTGGCAATAATTTGCCAGGTGTATTTCATGCTCTAGAGCTCCCTGTGTGACGGGGCTGCATCTGGGTCCTGCTGAGACCATATCTTTTCTTAGCCCCTCCTCTGCCCATTCTGCCCCTTGCATTTCCTCTTTCCTGAGAGCCCTCGCCAGTCAGTGAATCTGCATTCTCGCAAATCACAGTCTCAGGTGCTAGTTCAATGGGATGGACCTAAGACAGATAGTAAAGTTTTCTGTACCCTTCCTCTAAGTGAAAAAAAAAAATTACATCCAGGAATTAAGGGTCTTGTTATAAAGAAACATCCATCTGAATAAGGTGGTCCCACTTTTCCCACCAATGTGGAGGTCATTTACCTCTCAACCCCAGTGATCTGCAGTATAGCCACAGGTATAAAAATGACTATGGATAACCAATCTAGATACTGTGAAATGAATGACAGTCTGTACATTCATTATTTAAAACAAAGTACAGGTTTTGGCACCTGACAGATACACGTGTGTACCTGGGTATGAGACCAATATATAAGGGGTGCTCTGACATGATCTTCACAGAGAGGCTGGGAAGACAAATGATGCCATACATTAAATGGGTTAGAACATATCAGGGCTTCAAAACCCTGAGATTTTTATTATTAAAGTCTTCATGTGCCAGGGAGCATGGTATTTTAGTCTGGTTATGGGCCAATTTCTGTTTCAAAGCTGAGGCTGAGAGCAGATCCTTTTCTTATACAAAGAACAAAAACTCACCAACTCCAAGTGAAACAAAAATGAATTTTGATGTTCCTCAGCACACTGAGTCCCATCTGACGAGGAATGAGATGGATTGCTAAACCAGAAGAGAATGTGGCTTCCAGTTCTCCAGGCGAGGTGAGGTGGGCATGGACAGTAAAGGTGGGGTAAACATTGTCCTGGGCTTTTGGAAGTCTGCCGAGCCCAGGGAGCTGGGTCAGCCTCATCTGAACAGAAGTGGGGTGGCCTGTGTGGGTGTGGCATATGTCAGCATTGGTTAAATCTGGGGAGTGGGTGCTGAATGGATGTTTGTATTACTCTGTAATCTTATGTAAATTTGAAATATTTAAAAATAAAAAGTGAAATAAAAGTAAAGGCAAAAGACTAAATGAGACTGATTAAACCCACTTTGTGAAATGAATTAAGATGGTATACTTTATAATTATCCTTAACTCAAATTAATATGTCTACCATGTGTATGTGTGAGTGAATTTTTTATAAATACATGCAAGTATCTATATATTTTTTCACATAACATGTAATTATACATATGTGTGTGTGTATATTCACACATACATATAATCTTATATAATCTTAACTGAATTTTCTTACCAGATTACATGGCATCTGCCCCAGATTAGTGAACGCTTGGATTCTGTGTCTCCTCTGCAGATGCCTGTTTCTGCCAGATGTCAGTTAGCTTTGTGGCCTCAATTCTTTGATGGGTTCAAGAAAAATTGTTAATTTGTAGTTTGTCCAGCTTTTTTCTTGTTGTAAAGGAGGGAGCAATGTTATTTCCAGCTCTCTTCATCTCTGAGCTGAAATTAAAAATCATGAATCTAACAAGATGCCCTGGTTTAGAAAGCATTCCTCCTATGTTTAAAATTATCATAATTGTTTAATTTCCTTCCCTGTGCATAGTGAAGGTGAACATCTGTTCCGCTCTGCATCAGTAATCGCTAGCCCCCGGGGCTCCAGAGCCGGGTGGTCCCTGATCCGCTCTCAGAAGTCCGGGGTGGGGGAATCTAGGGGCCCTGGCCCGAGAGGAAGCTGTGGTGGGGTGGTTTCAGAAGGTAAGAGAATTGATGTGCATGGTTCCTAGTTCCAGGTATCAGGTCTTTCAGTAGGGTTTATTCATCTCCAGGGTTAAAATCTCTTTGGAACACACCGCCTTATTCCTCCAGGATCTGTCCTCCCCAGGATAATTTATTTTAACTAGTATTTCATTCCCAATCATCCTACCAACAGAGACTCAAACCAGAAGACAAAGAACTTTGGAATTGAACTGTGGCTTTTTCTCAGGGGAAGCAGCATCAAGGCCAAGCCGAGAAGGTGCTTATCAGTCAGGATCCTGGGAGAAGACCTCACCTTCAGGTTAGTCACATTCAAGGGACGTTTAATCAAGACAGTATGATGTCATGAGCAAGTAAAGGAAAGCCCGAGGGAAGAATCAGTACCAAGATGATGAGAGCAAAGTTCCTTTATCACCCCTACATGGGAGGGAAAGAGGGGAGAGCCGTATGTAAATCAGAAAAAGAGGGCCTGCCCTGCATGGAGAGAGCTGCCTGATGTGAGTGAGACCCAAGGAACGGGGAGGTGGCCAACTCCAGGTGTGACTGGGAGAATAAAGGCCCACCTCACTCTCTTCCCTCTTCTGCTGGCATTTATAATTGGCCAAAGCCAACTAGAAGCTAGATGGCAGGGGAACCCACTGATGGATTCATCCAAGTGGCCTTCTGGGGCAAAGAGGAGGGTGAGAGTGGATCTGGGTGGGTCAGTTGAACACCCCCAGTGCAAAGGCCATTGGCCAGGTCTCATTAGATATTCATACAGCTATCTGATATTTATAGATTTGAGTTCCAAAATACTGTATAATGATAATTATTTTTCCCTGATAATTCAATCACTACTTTGAGTCACCCTCTAAGAAGTGTACTATCATTACTTCCCACAAACCCTAAGCAGAGAGGGATTAATTATTTGCTGCAAGTCAAAAGCTAGAAAGACTGGTGGCAAAAAGTTGTCTAAGACTCCAAAATGCTTGTTGAGAACCACTACACTCTACAAATTTATTCTATCCTCACCTTGAGCAACCCCTCAGAACTGGACTGTTTTTCCTCAGCATTCTAAGGAGCCTTTTTGACCTAGTTCCTTGCTCTTTCTTCCTTTCCAAAAGTGCACTGAGTCGCTGGTCACAGCATTCAGAAATTGGGTCCAGGCACCAACAGGCAAGACCAGCACAGGTTTAAGGGCAGGACCTGGAATCCTGGCGGCTGAGCAGGGCTTGTGTGGACAGACAGAGCCAGGGAACCGTGAACAGGGAACCAGCAGAAAGGAGCTCAGAGATCACATCAGACACTTCACCTGTAGCCTGGAGGGCAGTCCAAGGGGAAAAGAGAAGGGTTACAAAGGTTTTGTGTGTGGTTGGCACAGCTGTGTAGGAAATGGGGCAAGATGGGAGTGACATTGTTTTAGCTCAACAAAAGCAGCCAATATTTGTACAGTGCTTTCATGGTTAAAGCAAATTCCCAAACATTTCATCAGACAATAGTTAACTTCACTAGACTGTGGGTTTCCTGAGGGCAATGCCTTTTCATTTTGGTGTCCTCATCACCTAGTATGGTGTCTGGCACATAGCACCCAATATTTGCAATAACTTGTTAAATCAATAATTGGAAATAGAGTAGATAATGGAGCCATGAAGGGTTTGGGAGCCAGGAACATCAGGGTCCTAATTCTGGTTTTGTTGATCATTCGGTGAGTGTCCTTGGGGAGAACCTCTAGCCTTTGTAAGCCTTGGTGTGTTTGCATATGAAATGAAAATGAAAAACTACATTTTCAGGGTTGTTGGGAAGTTATACACATGTACACACACTATATACACACATACATAGATTAACATACTGTGTGTTAGATTAACACACACACATGCTACAAATACATGTATATACACACACATAAGACAACACCTTTGCATCAGGAAAGGTAACCATAATGATATGATGGCAGTGATCGTGATAATAAAGGAGCAATTTTCTCTGGGGGTTGGAGAGGGCGGTTTCTGTATTTTTTTTTTTTTGCTACCTCCATTATTTGAACAACTTCATTTCCAGACAGTTCTGTCTAAACAGATCTTAAGCTTCACACCTGGTGAACAGATCTTAAGCTTTACATCTGAGAACAGAGCAGAAGAGAAGGCTGTGCAGGTAGGAACATGACCTCTGTTATTAAATCAACACGACAGTTCAGGCTCTCTCACCCCAACTTTTAACGGTTATAAGGGAGATTTCAAAGCCACCCCTCCATGTCCTCTCAGAGGGAAAAGCTCTCACTGCAGGGGTTTGCTGAGCCTTCCTAAGCCGGAGGGTCACTGGGCCATGAGCTGGGTGCTTAAATAGTTCATCTCCAGGTCAGTTGTGATCTGTTTCCCATCATTTGTTTGATTTTTCCTTTTTTCCAGTCAACTTTTCTCAGTCTGTAAAAGTAAGCATCTTTTTGCCTTCATTCATCTCATCGTCAGAGAGCCCTGTCTTTCCTCTCTTGCCCACCATGACTCCCACCCCTCCTTCCACCAAAATCTGTTCAGTGGCAAAGTCGCTTAAGGTGACATTTGCTCGAAGGGACAGGATGGCACCCGATTCCCCTCGCTCTCAGTCCCGGCTCCCTCACTAATACCCACCTAAGGTCTGACAAGGAGGCTGCAGGCAGGGACTCCCCTGAACCTGTGTTTACTGTGTTCCCAACACATGCCTGTCACTGTCCCATGCAACCTGGACAGTAGAGGATGAGAGGTTGCTGGAATCATGGGCCATGAAACAAGGTATCGAGTAGCTTTCTTTCAAGGCATTAGTGAAACATTCAGAAAAAAAAAAGGTTTTATAGAATTCATCAGCTGACAAATATACTTGTTCATGTGCATTGATGATGAGCCATGTTAATGTAAATCACAATCATGAACCCAACGCAGACTTCAAGCAAACTCTCTGAATTACATACTCAACGTTAGTAAGCATTGCTCTCTGCAGCAGGAAAATGCCTGGGGAGTACTCGGATGAGAATTTCCCGCATGGCACCCTTCAGTGACACTCGCCTGAGCCATCTCATTTCTGCCCCCTCCCTCCTTGGCAGGGGAACTTTGGATTCATTGCTCCTCTGGTTCTTCCTGCTGTTCTGAGGGTGCTCGAGAAGGAGGTGCTGTTTCACTTCCACGAGGACAGAAATCTCAGCCTGGAGTTCACTGATCTCTGCCATGTTGTGTGGATAGTGTTCACGAACCTTCTGATATTTCTGCAAGATTTGTGTCTCTGTCTTCTGTGGGCTTCTTTTTTGGGGAAGAGTTTTCACATCTTTCAGGAGATTCCCATGGTTGTACACATACTCCAAAATGTTAAGAGCCACTAACCTGGAGGGTTTGTTGAAACATTTTGCAAATGTTATACACTATGTCTTAGGCAAAAATCAGGGAATATTTTAAAAACTGCCTTTCTCCTTGGCTTTTGGGATTCTCACTCATGGCACAGAGATCATCGACAGAACTGCATGGAGAGGGGTGTGACACAGCCAAGGATGAGTGGTGTGTGAAGCTGTGATGTAGTCAACACTCTGATGCCAGTTAGCTTTCTGAGTCTCTAGATTACTAGCCATGAAGTGGTTAAAGGAGAATATTTCCCCTACACCCCTGCCACACAGAGAGCCAGAAAGGGACGTGTTGATTACACAGAGAGTTTGATGACTTCTGTGTACTCTCACAAATGGGCTCACAAAAGTCCCCCAAGACATTTATTGCATGTGCTCAGAGACTGAGTCTTCTTACAGAATGAAGCACCAGCAAGGTTCTGTTTTTGACAAGCATCTTAATGCACCAGCCTTCATTTCCTCTCCTGTTCAGTCCAAGTCAGTTTACTCACCTGACCTGTCTTTAAAGGATACAATAATTAAATAGGAGGAAAAAAATCAAGTCTAAAATAACATAGAAACCTAGGTATGCTAGTCTTAATGGAAAGACTTTGATTGTTCTGAAAGGGCAGCTGTTCCCAGGAAGAAGAAACTAACAGGTGAGGTGGAGCTTATGGAAAGTGGGTTTGCAAGGGGACCAACTGGTGATGTGGATTTGGACCAGACAGTTCGGTGGTCGTTGTGAAAGGCCCTGTGGACCTTTTGTGTTTTGCTCTTAGGCTTCTGGACACCAGCCTGGCCACTCAGGGGCCTGGGGTCCCCTGGCAACAGATCCTGGCTTGAAGCTCACCGGGGACCACCCCTCTTCTACATCAACCTTGTCAGAATGTGACTACTTCGTGTGTTATCAACTTGCACTTGCAACATATATATTAACATTTTTAATAATAATACTAATAACAAGGATATAGTATGCTAGGTGCTACTTTATGATCTTTCTGTTATTCTTCACAAATATACTGCAAAATAATTTAATAGGCTTGCTGGAAATTGGTCGGACCTGGTTGATACAATCAAGAAATCACTGTATTTTTCTCCCTACTGACTTTAAATTCACTTAAACTCATTTGCCTTTTCCTTCCCCTGGTGGCATATTGGGGAGATTCTATAGCTTCCTGGTCACTTTAAAGAATTAAAACATCTAGTCCAGTTCAATCCATCAAAATTTAATCTCATACCCAGTTTAAAGCTTCTCCCCTCTGCCCAGGTGAGGCTTTACCAGATGCTAGGGTACCAGCAAAGGCATGGGGCACTTGGTCTCTTCTCCAACAGTCCTTGCTCCACCTCCCACCTGACTCACCTCACTGCTGATGGAGATTCCCAGGGGTGGTGAGAAGAGTGAGAAACCAGGTGGCAGACGCTCTTTGTGGTGCTATCTTGGCTGTTGAAGGCCCTCGAAATGGTAGGATCCAAAAGTTGGTTCTTTCAGGTGGCACCTTTCATACGGGTCCTCAGAGACCCTGACTTGGTGATGTGCTAGGCTAACCTCTTGTGACTTCTCTCAGTTCCTGCCCATCATGGTACTCTTCCCTTCCATTTGAGTGTATATGTTAAACCTGCTGCCTTCCACTCTGGTAAAACACACACACACATGCTCTGCCATCATGGGCAGCTGCGATGAGCGCCACCCTCAGTCTTCTCCAGGCAAGCTCTAGGCAATAGTCTCTGTGCCCTCAATGCCAGGGGAACCTACTTTAAGATCTCCCAAGAATACTATGCTCTAAGACTGGACAGCTTGGGACCAGTCTCTGTATCTCCACATCTCAGCAAGGGTCCAGCTTGGGAGTGAGATGCCAGCCTACCCTCTTACAACAAATCCTTTCTCCAAGACTGTTTCCCTAGACTACCTTATTTTGCTGAGGGTGAATGGGAGCAAACCCATATCCAGTTCTACAAGGCTCCATATTCCACGGGATTCT